TCACTGCTACCATCTCCCTACTACTGCTCTCATCACCTCCTGCTGATACTTTACTCACCTGCTCACCCAAACACCAGGACAGGAAGGCATCTGCACTCATATACATCCCACTCCCACCTTACTTTCCTCACCCTCCTTCTTCTCCTAACCCCTGGGGATATCTCCCCAAACCCTGGTCCTACAGTATCTCACCCCCCCCACACCAGGCACCCTCCTTCCACCAGGAATAGCCGCAATTCACTTAATTTAATATCAATCCCCATGCTCCTACAAACCACCCTCCCTTTTTCATGTGCACTCTGGAATGCCCACTCTGTCTGTAATAAGCTCACCTCTGTCCATTACCTTTTTGTCTCTTGCTCCCTTAACCTACTAGCAATTACAGAAACCTGGCTTCAAGCAGCAGATTCTTCTTCTCCTGCAGTACTTTCCTATGGAGGCCTTCTTTGGACTCACTCACCCAGACCCAGTGGTCAAAAAGGTGGTGGAGTTGGTTTGCGTCTATCCCCACTGAGCACCTTTCAAGTCCTCCATAACCCTCCCTCTCTATGCTTCTCTTCTTTCTAGACTCACTGCACTCGGCTGTTTTCTCCTATTTCTCTGAGGATTGCAGTGATCTACTGACCTCCTGGACCGGTGTCCTGCTTTCTTGATGACTTCTCTGCCTGGCTACCCTCCTTTCTCCTCTCTGAAATCCCCACTATCATTCTTGGAGATTTTAACATCACTATTAATGTGAACAACAACTACATCCCAACTCTTCAACCTAACCTCACCTTTTGCCTTAAGACAATGGACACAGTCCTCCACTCACTCTGATGGGAATACATTAGATCTTGTTTTCTCCCATCTTTGCACTCCCTACAACCTCACAAACAACCCCTTTCCTCTCATCACAATCTCATCACCTTCACAGTCTCCTCGTCTTCAAATACTTATCCCTCCAAGCAGCAAACAATTATCTGCAGAAACCTTCACAACTTGAACCCTTCTCTTTTCTACTCTGCAACTGACCACCTCTATGACAGAATCTCTCCCCCTGTCTTGCCCTGACCTGGCCACTGCTGTCTACAACAGTTCACTTTCATCCACATTAGACTCACTTGCTCATCTAACCACACGAAGCATCAGGCCCCGACCATTAGAACCTTGGCAGACTGACGACACCAAAAATCTTGAGAGACATAGTCAAGCACTGGAACAAATGTGGCGAAAACCAAATCACACCAAGCTTTCACCCTATATAAATTTACTTTCTTAACATACAATTCCTCTCTCCATGCTGCCAAACAAGCCTACTTTGTCACTCTCATCAATAACTTGTCATCCAGTCCTCCTCGTCTCTTCTCTAGTTTTAACTCTCTACTTTCACCACCTTTACCTCCACCCAGCACCTCACTCACTGCTTACGAGATTGCAAATCATTTCGAAAACAAGATTGATGCAATTCGTAGGGGCATCTCTACTGCACAGACATCCATCCCACTTAGCATACCTTATAGTAAACCTCTGTCAACACTTTCCTCCTTTGACCTTGCTACTACTGAAGAGGTCACTAAGGTTTTTCTCAGAAGCCCATCTCACTACCTGCCCCCTGGATCCTGTCACCTCACAACTACTATGGTCACCCTCTTCTTCTATCCTATGCTCCCTCACTCACATCTTCAATCTCTCCCTCTCTAACTGTGCCGTTCCCACCCCTCTAAAGCATGCACACATCACTCCCATGTCTAAAAAGCCCTTCCTGGACCCCACCAACCTGAGCAACTTAAAACCCATCTCCCTGCTGCCACTTACCTCTAAACTCTTAGAACACTTAGTCTACAATTGCCTGAGCTCCTACCTCACTGACAACAACCTTCTTGACCCTTTACAGTCTGGCTTTCGCTCACTACACTCCATTGAAACTGCCCTACTAAAACTCACTAATGATCTACTAACTGCTAAAACCAATGGCCACTACTCCATACTCTTACTACTTGACCTCTATGCAGCTTTTGATACTGTTGACCATCCCCTCCTCCTCAAAAAACTCCACTCTTTTGGTCTGCAAGACTCTGCTCTCTCCTGGATTTCCTCCTACCTATCTCAGCGCTCCTTCAGCATTACCTATAACTCTATGGCTCCTCCTCTCCACTCCCTCTTTATGTAGGGGTCCCTCAAGGTTCTGTCCTTGGACCCCTTCTCTTCTCCATCTACACCTCCTCCCTTGGTCACTTGATAAACTCCTATGGCTTTAAGTACCATCTCTATGCTGATGACACACAAATCTATCTTTCTACACCTCACCCCCCTTCAGTCTCCTCTCGCATTACTAACCTACTAAGTGACATATCGGCATGGATGTCACTCCACTTCTCTTTCCAAAACTGAACTCTTAGTATTCCCTCCAGCCCATGCCCCCTCCCCTGACTTCTCCATCAAGACCAATAATACAACCATCAGTCCCTCCCCTCATGCCAGGGTACTAGGTGTAATCCTAGACTCCCATCTGTCCTTTCAGCCCCAAATTCAATCGCTGTCCAAATCATCTAGACTTCACCTCTGCAACATCTCTAAGATACGGCCGTTTTTAACTTTGGAAAGTACTAAGCAACTTATTCACTCCCTTGTTATCTCTCGCCTTGACTTTTGTAACTTCCTCCTCATTGGCCTACATCATCGCAGGCTATCCCCTCTTCAGTCTATCATGAATGCTGCTGCCAGACTCAGCCACCTTACTAACCGTTCTGTATCTGCCACCCCTCTCTGCCAATCCCTCCACTGGCTTCCCGTTGCCCAACGGATAAAATTCAAAACACTAACAATAACGTATAAAGCCATTTATAACTCTGCCCCAAATTACATCAGCGATCTTGTCTCTAAATATCACCCAAACCGTACTCTCTGCTCCTCGTACGACCTCCTCCTCTCTAGCTCCCTTGTCTCCTACTCCCATGCTCATCTCCAGGACTTCTCCAGAGCTTCCCCCATCCTCTGGAACTCTTTACCCCAATTTATCAGACTATCGCCTACTCTGCTCACTTTTATGCAATCTCTGAAAACCTATCTCTTCAGGGAAGCTTATCCTGCCCTCAGCTAATAATGGAATCTTCTACTACTCCTTCCACTCCATCCCCCACAGTTACTACCTTTTGTACCACTAGCCCCTCCCTCTTAGATTGTAAGCTCCAAGGAGCAGGGCCCTCCTAACCCTCTTGTATTGAACTGTATTGTTGCTGTATTTTCTCCCGTTATATTGTAAATCGCTGAGCAAACTGTTGGTGCTATATAAATCCTGTAATAATAATAATAATACAGTGGATATCTCCTAAACTTTCAGTGTTTAGGAGATATTCACACAGCATGCAGAATTCACCGGCACATGCGCTCTGAAGGAATGGCATACCTGTGCTGTTCCTTCAGAGTTGTGTGCCATGCATGCATGGGAGTAACGTCACCGTGGCATGGCCAGTCAGGCTGATGGAGCATTCAAACCCATAAAGAAGACTAGATGTGGATGGAAGCCCTGTCAGCGGTAACAGCACACCGCTAGAGGGCTTCGTTCTTAGGTAAGTATTTCATAATGTACTAGTATACAATGCATTCTAGCACATTATAATCTTCTCCAGCTAGTAGTCTAGTGGATCACTCAAGCTATCAGCTCAGACGTGTCGGGGAAAGATTTACACAGCTGCCAAGCAACTAGTATGGATGTCATGCCAAATACAAGCCTCTGTTTGTGAGCGCAATCTTTTTATGTCTGTTTTATGATTGTTTATTAAAGGTAACTGCACTATGAGCTTGTGCACTCTCTTTTTTTCTTTTTGTCTTATACTAGCACATTATGCCTTTACCTTGTAGGGGTTTTTTTTTAACTACTAGTCACATCTGTGTACTATATAACAAAGATGAACAAAGGCAGACATGTTTGAATTCCAGCCTGTGTGACAACTGTGGCTCCATCCAAAGAGACAATGATGACATTAGCAGGGCCTGTGCTAGACTATTTTGCTAGACTGCTAGACTGTTCTTATTGAACAAGCTGAAGTTAGAAGCTGATTGGCTACCATGCACAGGTACACCAGATTTTGCACTCTTTAGTTTTAGTAAATCATCCCCTATGTATAGCAAATCTAATGTGTTTATGTTGCTAAATCTTTTCTTATTTACAATTTTTTAACACCTCAAGTGATATATCACAGATACTGTATATGCAAACTTGTTCTTTCTATCTGTCATCTCCCTGTAATATAATAATGCAATTTTATTTTACAAATCTAGATGGTGAGGGGCTACAAAAATACTTAAAGCAGCCTTTGATGTTTGTCACCATTTTCAAATCGAAATGGATAAATGAAAACAGAATAATTTTAACATTAGAGCCAAAATACATAAATATATTACATATTGCCTTCTTGTATGTTTACATTCAAAACAATTTGTTCTAGAAGTTTTCATTGTACACATTTTACTTGGCAAATCTGACTTGGAATAAAGGTCATAAATAATCGAAAGGAAGCTTGTAAGCAGTATATTGATTTCTAAATTGCTTTCTGCTCTAGGTTTTTCTTCCTATAAATGTTTTCCTTCAAAACATAATGTTTAACATTATACACAATATTGTCTGAAATGTTCATAGGCCCTTTTTTGTGCTCATTTAGGAAAAGGCTTATGTTGGTGTTTCCGAGGACCACAGCTTGTCTTGATTCAAGAAGTACTCCAGCCAAAATGTTTTTCTTTTGTTTTGGGCAGAGGGTGTCAGGGTTGGAAATTCTGACTGTTTATATTACTGGGTAATTTCCTGTCACTTGTCTTGTGACAGTTGAGATTGGCATAGTAAAGCCTAGTATACACGGTCAGAAAATCAAACAAAAGCTACCATTTTTAAAGCGGTCCTACGATAATCCAATTGTTAGTACACAGCTTTTATCCGAAATTAGCATGAAAAAATTTCTTATACAATACCAGATCTTTTAGTCAGTACAGTTTTTGTCCAAAAATGCAAAAAAAATACTGTTATGATCCGCCGGTGGTGCCTCAGGCTGCCAGCTGGCGGACCTACTCAGAGCGTGGGGTCTAAGCCCGGGCTGTGCTTTCACCAGGGCCCCTGATGGTGGGGATGGACTTAAAACAGTCCCGGGCCAGGTCACGACCTCCGAGCAGGCCCCCAGTGGCCGAGGAGACCTTTGGGGACAGGTACCGGGAGAGCCAGATGTGAAGTGGCTAACGGCCCTAGCAGGTAACAACTGATCGTGAGCCCGTGAGGGTAAGCGGGGTACAGAATCAGTAGGCCAAGAGTAGTCGGGTCACACGCAGGGTCAGCAGGGGGTATCAATCCGTAGAATGGTCAGGGCAATCCGGGTCAAACGCAGGAGCAGGCAGAATAGTCAGGGTCAATCCAGGTCAAAACGCAGGGACAGGCAGAATAGTCAGGGTCAATCCGGGTCAATCACAGGGGCAGGCAGCGTAGTCAGGGTCAATCAGGGTCTCAGGCAGGTACAGGAACTTCAGGATCACAGGAAGACCTTGCGGCAACTTGTGACAGTGCAGGGCATCTTTAAATAGTGCGCCCTGCACTGTCATTGGCCGGCTTAGGACGCGCCCCCGGCTGTCATTGGACGCCTGAGGCGCGCCCGCGCGCTCCTACTGCGCATGCGCGGCGTCCTGTCAGCCGCTGCTCGCCGGGGCCCTGGTGCCTGTGTCCCGGCGCGATCTGCCGCCACCCATACGCGCATGCGCGAGGGACGGAGCCGCGATCGCGGGCTCCATGGGCCGTGATCCCTGACATTGCCCCCCCCCAAGGGCACCCCTCCGGGAGCCCCACTGATCTCTCCACCGCGGGTGAGCACGAAAAAACTCCGGATGAAGCCTGGGCGCGTGAACGTTCCGGGCGGGTTCCCATGAGTTCTCCTCAGGACCATACCCCTTCCATTTTATCAGGAATGCGTCTGGCCTCCCCTCCTTCGGCAACTGAGGACAGTCTCCACTTCATATTCCTCCTGGTCACCTATGGTGACTGCCTCGGGAGGTCTAGATTCACGGTCCGGGAAGGATCCGGTCTAGAAGGCTTCAGGAGGGACACATGGAACACAGGATGTATCCTGAGTGTCTGCGGAAGCTCGAGCTCGTAGGCCACCCTGTTGATGACTCGTTTTACAGGAAACGGGCCAATGTACTTGGGTCCCAGCTTCCTTGAAGGGCACAGCAAAGCTTCAAATTGGTCGTTTGCTAGCCAAACCCGATCTCCTGGTCGAAGCAGTAATTCTCCTCTTCTCTTACCGTCGAATGCTCGTTTACTGTCCTCTTGGGCTTTAGCGATGGCTTCCTGAATTGTCTTGTTATTGACTGAAAGGAATTCCAAGATGTCTTGAGATGCCGGTACCGGATTCTCAGGCATAAGGTCAGGGATGGGAATTGTGGGATGATACCCGTAATTGGCATAGAACGGGGATTGACCCGTAGCTGAATGACTCGAGTTATTGTACGAGAATTCCGCGGAAGGCAGCAACGACAGCCAGTCATCCTGGAGGTAAGACGTGTAGCACCGCAAGTATTGTTCCATCGTCTGGTTGGTCCCTCTCAGTTTGGCCGTTGGTCTGTGGATGGTAGGCGGATGAAAGCGATAGCTTGATTCCCAGCAATTTACATAAGGCTTTCCAGAATCTGGAGGTGAATTGGACCCCCCCCCGATCGGACACTATATCTTCGGGAACCCCATGAAGCCTCACCACTTCCTTGATGAAGATCCGTGCCGTTTCTGGTGCTGATTGGGTCTTCTCCAATGGGCACGAAATGTGCCATCTTTGAAAAGCGGTCGACGACCACCATTATTGCAGTGTAGCCCTGGGATGGTGGAAGTTCGACCCACGAAATCCATGGCTATCATCTGCCATGACCGCTTGGGTATGGGCAATGGACGTAACAGTCCCCATGCCCTAGTTCTGGAGGGCTTGTTCCTTTGACAGGTGGGACAAGTTCGGGAAAAGTATAACGTAATGCTCACAATCCTTGATCATGTCTGGCCCACCAGAACGAGCGCCGTAATAGATCCAGAGTTTTCGTTACCCACCGAAGTGGCCCGCCATTGGATGGTCGTGGCAGTGCCCCAGGACCAAGGTTCGCACTTCTCTGGGACCATGATCCGGTTTTCCTTCCAAAACAGCCCCCCCTGGCTCTGAGGGGTGACCCAGACGGCACTGGGTAATCCACGGAAGCATCGAGAAGCCGGAGAGCGAAGTTCCGTTTGTAGAGCGATGGAAACTCCCAGAAGGCAAAGATGGTGTCCGGCAGCACAGCGTCGTCGTCGGGTCCCCACTCGAACATTGCGGGACAGAGCGTCTGGTTTTGTGTTCTTAGACCCGGGTCGGTACGTTATAAAGCTGGAATGAGAATCGAGAAAAGAAAAGGGTCCATCTTGCTTGGCGAGGTCTCAGTCATTTCGCCGTTCTTAAATTATTCAAGGTTTTTGTGATCTGGTGAATATTAAATTGGGTGCGTGGCTCCCTCCAATAAATACCTCCATTCTTCAAGAGCAGTTTTTATGGCCAGAAGCTCCCGATCTCCAATGTCACATAGTTTACGTTCCGCTGGTGTCAACTTCCTGGAGAAGAACGCCACGGGGTCAGTAGTTCCTTGGTACCATTCCTTTTTGGGATAACACCGCACCTACCGCACATAGGACACTCCACTTCCAAAACATATGGGAGGGAAGAATCTGGATGGCAGAGAATGGGAGCAGAGGTGAACAATTCTTTGAGTCTTTCAAATGCCGTCTGCGCTTCGGGAGTCCACTTAAAGCGGACCCCTAAGTTTCGTCAGTTTGTGTGATAGTTGGGGAGACCAGACCGGAGAAGTTCCTAATAAACTTCCTGAAAAAGACTTAGAGAACCCAATGAAGCGCTGTACCCCTTTTTTTGTCGGCGGGTATTGGCCAATCCAAGATCGCCGTGACCTTCTGGGGATCCATCGCGACCCCCGCGGAAGAAGTATAGAACCAGTCCCAAGAACGTTATCTCGTGCTGTTCAAAACCAGCAATTTTCTGCCTTCCTTCTGCGTATAGCCCGTGTAAACACGCAATTCTAGTACCCGTATTACGTGACCCATGAACCTCCCGTGAGGGGGAAAAAATTAGGATGTCATCCAAGTAGACCACCAGCGAAAATGTCGAGAAAATCACGAAAAAACATCGTTGATAAAGTGCTGAAAGGTCCCGAGCATTACAGAGCCCGAACGGCATCACCAATATTCATAGTGGGCCGAATCTCGTACGGAATGCCGTCTTCCACTCATCCCCTTCCCTGATACGGACTAGGTTTATAGGCCCCCCGCAGGTCTAATTTAGTAAATATCGTTGCGGATCTCAATCTCTGGAGGAGCTCGGGACTAGGGGCAAAAGGATAACGATTTTTTACTGTTATTTTGTTCAGGTCACGGTAGTCAATGCAAGGCCGTAACGATTTGTCTTTCTTCTCTACGAAGAATAATCCGGCCCCGCTGGGGATGTTGATGGACGAATAAATCCCTTCCGTAGTTTTTTCGTCAATATAATCCCTCAGCACACCCGATTCTGTTTCGGACAAGGGAAGATACGGCCGAATGAGATTTCAGATCCGGGTAGGAGGTCTATGGGGCAGTCGTAGGAACGGTGCGGAGGGAGAACATCTGCTCCTCGCTTATTAAAGACGTCTAAGAAGTCGTGGTAGGCCGGAGGAATAACCTGGGATAGATTGGTGTCGCCATCCAAGCACAGGAGGAACCGGGGCACCATGGGTCCTGTGACGTGGCAGTGACTCAAACAATAAGGGGAGCGAAATTGAATTGTCCCCTTTTCCCAGTCAATCTGGGGGTTATTATGGGCCCTCAGCCAAGGGAGCCCCAGAATGACTGGAAAAAGGGGGGACGCGATGGCATCCAGGCGGAGGAACTCCTGGTGATGGTCTGCCATTGTGTGAAAATGGGTGGTGTCTCCTGGTCCACCACCCCTGATTTTATACGGGACCCATCTGCCAAGAAGATGTTGAACCCCCTTTCTTTGGTCTGGAGTGGGATCTTTTGCCGGTGGGCAAAGGTCAGGTCGATGAAGCAACTACAGGCTCCTGAGTCAACGATTGCGGTCACCGACAATGTTCCTCCGGGAGCTGCAAAGACACAGGAATGGCCAGGTAACTCGACTGATCATCCCTTCCTGCAGGTAAAGTAAGAGAAACGGGTGTGGGACTTACTCATTTTAGCAGGACACGAGCGCACCTGATGACCAGCTTCCCCGCAGTACAGACATAGGTTCCGTGATAGTCTCCTCTGACGTTCCTCGACCGATAAGTGGGAACGGGCCAATCCCAGTTGCATGGGTTCCGGGTTGTCCCCTGTTTCCGTGCTTCGCGGATGGTTCCCTGGGGTTGGAGCTGTATCTCTGGACGGAATCCATGCCACCCTTTGACCCTGGCTGCTCCTTTCCAGCCGACGTTCCCTTAGTCTACGGTCAATTTGTATGGCCAATTCGATCAGTTTTTCCAGGGTGTCAGGTAGACCTACTCGTGCGAGTTCGTCTTTGAGAGACTCAGACAGCCCGATGCGGAACTGGTGACATAAGGCCGCATCGTTCCATCTGGTGTCTCCCATGCAACGTCTAAAGTCGGCCGCATATTCCTCGGCTGCCCGGCGGCCCTGCCGTAGTGAGTATAGGGTAGTCTCTGCGGATGCAGCCCGCTGAGGGTCGTCATACAAGACGGCCATGGCCCGAAAGAACTCGGTCACGGAGTCAAGATGTGGGTCGTGCCCCTCCATCAGACGATGAGCCCAATCCTGGGGCTCATCCTGCAGGAGAGAGAGACTATAAAACCCCCACCTTGATGGACTCGGTGGTGAACGTGCGGGGCTGTAAGTCAAAGTACAGGGTACACGCACTTCGGAAGGCTCGGAAGCGTTCCGGTCACCACGGAATCGCTCTGGCAGGGGAACGCGGGGTTCGGGAGCTAGGGGTGTGGCAACCGCTCCGGATCCCGGGTTAGCGGGAGGTTCTGCTGCAGGTGGAGGACTCTGAGCAGGGGGAGTCAGGGGAGCTAATGAATCCATGCGGTCCTCCAGTCGGGCGCAGCGACTGTGGAAGTTCTGGAAAGCTTGGGTCAAGGTTGCCAGGTTGCTGACAAATATCCTCTAGGGACGCCGGTACACTTCCTGGCTCTGTCATGGCCGCAAGGTACTGTTATGATCCCCCGTGGTGCCTCAGGCTGCCAGCTGGCGGACCTACTCAGAGCGTGGGGTCTAAGCCCGGGCTGTGCTTTCACCAGGGCCCCTGATGGTGGGGGA